AAAATTTTTCACCGGGTCTGATGTACATGGCAATTTTGGTGAGTTTTCGAGTATGTTTAGGGCCTCAAAAACGCGTGTCTTTGGCACGAATAATAATAATAATCCGAGCAGTTCCAATAGGGTCTTCGCACCCTTTTGGGTGCTCGGACCCTAATTATCCAGAAATAACCCAAAACACCAATAAAATGTTCCAACAAGTGTTTTAAAACCCTGGCAGCAAACGAACCAAACACATTCAGTCTGGAAACATCCATAAATTGCAAAACAATGTGTTGAAATGTTCCAGAAATGGCCCCAAAATCTGAATCCAACATGAGAGAAGTATCCTAAATAAATAAAAACGGTTAACGAAGGGTCTCAAAATAAATTAAACGTCCACAAATGTAAAAAACAAACAAACATACATTTTAGAAAAATGTTGCACAAAGTTTTATTAAATGTGAGAAATACATTTAAGGAAATGTCAAAACGATCAATCAAGTGTTTTCAAATGTAGAAACATGTTAAATATAAATTCATAATATGTCCTAAATGTTAATAAAATGTTTGAAAACTGTCCAAAACTATTTGTAGTGTTTCTAAAATGTGTGAAAAACATGTTGAAGAAGACGTAAGAGAGGATGGATAAATACTCGAGTAAAAGTACCCGCGACCTGCTGGTGGATGAATGCAGGACTTTTACTGTGGCGGGGTGTGACGTGAAGCTGCTGCAGGTCTGATGGAGTTTCCTGTTTCAGGACACGACGCCCGACGAGCTGCTGAGCGCCGTGATGACGGCTGTTCTGACAGATGTTGGGCTGTCGCCTGACAGGCTGGGAGACGTCTGCGTGGGTGAGGTCACGTGTTGACACGCTCAGATCTCCAAAATACAATCTGGACAAAGTTCCACCTGATCCCCTCAGAACCAGCAGGTTTTAAAAATGTTCTCAGAATTATCAGCAAACAGATTTGTTGACCAGTGAAGTGTCTCTGAAATGTGAAACAGCTAAAAGGACAGAACCCTGCAAATGGCAGAACATAGAACAGAACATGTCAGAGAAGCTGTGAAGTCGGACCTCGTGTTCTGGATCAGTGTTTACTGTGACCTCTGTGCAGGTAACGTGCTGCAGCCCGGCGCCGGCGCCCTGATGGCCAGAGTGGCTCACTTCCTCAGGTCAGTGTGGTGGTGCCGCTGATTGGCTCGTCTGTCGTCCAATCACAGCGTTTCTCACGGCCCGTTCTTGTTTCAGTGGCTTCCCGGAGTCGGTTCCGGTCTACACGGTGAACCGGCAGTGTTCCTCGGGCCTGCAGGCGCTTCTCAACGTGGCAGGTAACGGCGCCGAGCGCGACCACGCCGCCGTGTTTCTGCCCAAACTGACCCGCTGATGCTGTGTGTGCAGGATCCATCCGGAGCGGAACCGTGGAGCTGGGCCTCGCCTGCGGGTCGGTCCATCCTCAGACGCTTCAACAGAGCCGAGTCATGCATGGCTGATTGTAGCCCTCTGGGCTCGTTTATCTTCACTGACACCAAGTCCTGCAGCTCTGTGGAACCAGAACCACATGAAGGAGGAGACAGAACTCAGAGACGTCTGCTGGCAGCAGAACCATAGAGAGCAGAGCAGGAACGTTAAAAACCAGCTGGAAACCAGGTCCAAAAACCAGTTTGAACCCAAGTAACTCTGGTCTAAAACCAAGTTCTGACCCAGTTTAAAATAAGGTCCAAAACGAGTTCTGACCCAGTTTCAAAGCCAAGTTAGAAACCGGCCTCGAACTAAACCGTTTAATTTTACAAGAACGTGGAATCGGCCTGTTCCTTCTTCCGGTTCTGGTCTGACGTCCTGGATCGATGCTGGAGGCTCCACACGCTGGAGATGTTGAACCAAGTGCAACAAACAGAACTCCAGAACTTCAACTCTTTGCTCTCAGGCTGGTTTTAACGTTCCTTCTCTCGGGTCTCCATCGTCCCGCTGACAGCAGACGTCTCAGTTCTGTCTCCTCCTCCATGTGGTTCTGGTTCCACAGAGCTGCAGGACTTGATGCTGGAACATGAAGCTCAGTGAAGGAACACGGGACAGAAAACACTGCTCTGGGTTTCCTCTCTTTCCTGTTGGTCGTCTCTTCTTCTGTCCGTTTGCGTCTCGTTCGTCTCTTTCTGCTCTTTCCTGTGTTTTCGGGACTCTTTGGTCTCTTTGTGGAGTTTTTGTGTTTTTCTAGAACAAGTCAATAATCAAACCGATCTTGAGTTTCTTCAGACGTCTGTCGGTCACTGTGGATGATTTCATGTCATTTAAGACGAGTTTGAGTCATTTATCACCAGGTCCTGTTATGTTAACCTGACTGGGCTCAGAGTTCTGCCTCCTCCGGGTCGCTCTGGTTCCGCTGAGCTGCAGGACTTTGGTTCATTGTGACACACGGCTCAGCAGCTCAGAGGGTTCATGTGTGTGCAGCGTGGAGAGCATGTCGCTGCGCTCGGTGGGGAATCCAGGAGATCTGAGCTCCAGGCTGTCGGACGTGGAGAAGGCCAGAGACTGCGTCATCCCCATGGGGTGAGTGGTTCTGCTCAGACCAGCATGCTCAACACAAGGAGATGAGTACTGGTACCACTGCAGTCAGGTGACCTGAACGTGATTTAATGAGCGGCTGCTGGTCGTTTATTGATTATAGTCCAGCAGAAATGACTTCAGGATCCAGAATCTGTTGCACTGAAACAAGTTAAATCTAAAAGAACCTGGAATGAACCTGCAGCTCAGAGGTTCAGTAGAAACCAGGTCTCAGTCCAGAACTGATGGTGGCGTCATTCATCCAGACGTTGAGCTGCTCTCAGTGACGTCCTGGTGTTCTGAGTGACGCAACGTGTTTGACAGTCACCTGGCTGAACGTCCACCTCTCAGAGGATCAGCTTCATGATGTGTTTTCCAGAAAAGTACAAAATCTTCTAAAGCTCCATCACGCTGTTTCCTGTTTGTGCAGCATCACGTCGGAGAACGTGGCCGAGCGGTTCGGAGTGTCCAGAGAGAAGCAGGACGCCTTCGCTCTCAGCTCACAGCACAAGTAACTGGCTTTAACTCGCACCCTGAAGCTTTGAGGCTCCATCAGTGGAGACCACAAGAGTTCAGCTCAAAGATGAACGGTGACGAGGACACGTGGAGACGCTTCACGTCCTCTGAACCGGCACAATGAAAGCAGGACGAGCCTTTTGCAGCCTGTGTTCTGACTGTAGATGCTGGTCTCATTTGATTTAAATCAGTCAGAACCAGAGGAACCAGCAGGTGGTTGAGTCCAGGCTCAGAGCAGAAGCTGTTCACATCAGAGGTCCTGCAGACGTCCTCACGTGTTCATACGTCCTGCTAAAGGAGAACATCTTCAGTCACTGGAATAAACTGACAGAAGCAACCACAGATCAACGAGCAGCGAACATCATGACGCTGGTGCTGAACTGTGCTTCAACAGAACCATGAAAACAACAAGCAGCAGCAGCAGCCTGATGAGCCAGTGTTCAGCTGAACCAGCCTCTGAGCCAATCACTGCCATCAGGTGGTTCCTGTAGCTCCCATCAGACCGGTGCACCTGTTGACAGGTGTTCTGGCCCACTGCTCATCAGCAAAGGCTCTCATTGGTTTGTTTCATTTCATTATTCTGTTCAACCACAATTCAAAGCAGCGTCTGATTTCACTGAATCATCATTTAGCACATTTTTATTTATCATGACGTTTCCAGTTTCTGGCTGTTTGAGGGACTGATGTGAGTTCAGTCTTTCCTTTAACTGAAGGTTCTGAACACATCTGAGGTCCAGAACACCTTTAATGATGCATGAACCAGAACCAGAACCACAGACCTTCAGGGTTCTCTGACTGTGCTGTCCTGCTGCCGACAGGGCGGCCCGGGCCCAGAGCCTGGGCCTGTTCGACCCGGAGATCGTCCCCGTCACCACCAGGCTCGTGGACGCCGACGGCACGGAGCGCCCGGTGACGGTCAGCAGGGACGAAGGCGTCCGACCGGGGACGACGCTGGCCGGGCTGGCCAAGCTGCGGCCGGCCTTCACGCCGGACGGCAGCACCACGGCAGGTGAGCGCTCCGCCGGACCGCACGGCCCGTCCTGACCGCCGGAGACTCACTCACTCACTCACCTGTGTGTCCTCAGGTAACTCCAGCCAGGTGAGCGACGGGGCGGCGGCCGTGCTGGTCGGGCGCAGGGCCGCGGTGGAGGCTCTGGGGCTGCCGGTGCTGGGCGTCCTGCGGGCCAGCGCCGTGGTGGGCGTCCCCCCGGATGTGATGGGCATCGGACCGGCGGCGGCCATCCCCGTAGCTCTGGAGCGGGCCGGTGAGAGTAACTAAGTACATTTACTCTGAGTATTTCCATCATGTGGTGCTCGACACTTCCGCTCTGCTGCATTTAGAAATAAAAGCCTTTATTGTCGTGACACAAACGAAACAACACAATTAGACATTTGTGGTTTATCCAAGGAACGTAGAAATAAGCTGATAATAAAAGAAGAGAGACAGCAGGGCACAGATACGAGTTAAAAGAGATGTAAAACTGAGAGAACAGTCAGTTGTTTGTCAAACCATGTTTAAAACTCTGCTTTCTATTTGTTTCCATTATGTAATATTTAATATTTATATTTGAATCATTTATTTTGACGTTTTTTAAACCAACGCTGCCAAACAAGTTGAAATGAGATTTAAAAAAAGATTTTATAAAAAGTTCAAATCTTTAATCTAAGAAAACAAAACTCTTCACTTCGTCCACATGTTCAGAAAATAAGAACTAAATCCTGACTCGTCCCACTTTGAGCTTTAATCTGACAAATCCCTCAAAATATTCTGTGAACTGACTAAACAATAGATTTTAAATAGAATTTGGACCCAACTGTTAAATTTGACTTTTGAATCTCAAACTTTTTTCTTTTTTAAGTTAAAATTATTTCAAACTTCAGACTTTTTCCTTCATAGTTTGACTTTTGAATCTCAGAATCTCCTTGTTTAGATTCAAGAACAAGCGAATGTGTCGGAACCGTTTTTCACGTGTTCAGCAGCAAACAGAGGAGGAACATCTGGACTGTGATTGAATCTTTTATTTCCAAACCTGTCAGCACAGCAACACACTGATAAGGCCACCGACTCACTGCACATTCTGGAGACAAAAATAGAGGATTTCTCAGGATAGAGTCACATAGAAAACAGCTTGTCCTCCGTTCTCACAAAGATCAGACAAAGAAGCAGATTTACACCAAACCAGACGCAGGACACGCGTGAAACATGAGAAATACACGGAGGACACGGAGGACACGGTCAGGAGGTAACAGGAGCTACCTGAAGCTCAGGTCAGAATCAGAAGCCAGCAGCAGCTCTGCAGGTGCGATGGACACGTTAACATGACTTAATATTCACTGAGCACTTTAACACTGAGTTCAGTTGGTTTTATTCAATCACTTCTTGACTTTCTCAACATTTCCCTGAAATGAGTCGATCTGTTGATGCTGCTCGGGTCGCTCTCCGGCCCGTGACTGTGGTTCTGTACGGTGAAGTGATGCTCTAACTCCTTCATCTCCCTCCTCAGGACTGACTGTGGACGACATCGACGTGTTTGAAATCAACGAGGCCTTCGCCAGTCAGGTCAGTTCATAACCAGAAAACATTCTGATCCGAGCTCGGTTGGGTTTGGCAGCTCCTGTCCTGCTCCAGAACCAGGACTCAGTGCTGTCCCAGTAAATCCACATCTGGAACTAAACAGCTGTGTCCCTGCTGCTCAGGCGGTCTACTGCGTGGAGAAACTGGGCATCCCGATGGAGAAGGTGAACCCGAACGGCGGCGCCATCGCTCTGGGCCACCCGCTGGGCTGCACCGGCGCTCGCCAGGTGGTGACGCTGCTCAACGAGCTGCGACGCCGCGGCAGGAGGTTCGTCTGGACGCCCGACGCCTGCACGTCCTCCGTTTGAAATGCTCCGTCTCAGTCGTGGCGTTTTGTGTCCGCAGGGCGTTCGGCGTCGTGTCCATGTGCATCGGGACCGGGATGGGAGCCGCCGCCGTCTTCGAACACCCCGGACCTTAGCGGCAGACGGAACCAGGAGCCGGTGCTGTGGATGAAAACCCCGTTCTGACACGAGACCTCTGAGGATCACGCCTTCACAGAACATCGATAATTAACTCCTGAAATGCTTCTGAGAGCTCCAAAGGCTGCATGAGCTCATCATAGAGAGAATTTAGTCAGCTGCCTGATCAAGACGTGCTCGTTCTCCGTGCCTTCCTCTGTGGGGACGGTTTTAGCCTGACGTGGTTTTAGCCTGACGTGGTTTCCACCGACGTGTCTGCTGCCCTTTGACCCTCTGAACCCCAAACAGTCTCTGAACTCCTCAGCTGTGATGATGCTCCGAGCTCAATAAAGCCTGATCTGATATTTAGCAACTAGACCAAACTATCTGCACTAAACAATCTGGGCTCCTCGACACGACTGTGACTAAAAATAATCTGAGTTTTCAGGTTTATAAAATAAACTATGAATAGAATCGTATCAGAGTCCTGCTGACAGAAGACGTCTCTGAGTTCTGTCTCCTCCTTCGTGTTCTGGTTCCTCAGAGCTGCAGGACTTTATGCTGAACCAGGAACCAGGAGCTCAATAAAACCCTCAGAGAGCTGCTGGAGTTCAGAGGGTTAAACTGGTCTGACAGCTGGTTCCATTTTGGATCCATAAAGACGTCAAACTTCAACAAACACTGATGGTGAAAACCTGCAGCTAGCATTAGCATTAGCAGCTAATAATAATAATAGATTTATATGGTGCTTTTCTTACTCAAGGAGTAACTCAAAGCGCAAACAACCAACTGTCAATTATTCATTCGCACACATTCATTAGCATTAGCAGCTTCCTGTTTTTAGCCGCCGTTCTCTGGTTAAACCGTCGCTCTAAGAACGACAGTCTCTGATTGCAGCTCCTCAAATGTTTAAAACTGTGGACCATTAATCGATTAATTTAAGCCAATCAATGTGTCTGTTAACGTAGCAGATCAATACTAGCTCTGATCGCTTCAGACTGAACACTGCTGCTGGTGTTTCACATTAAAAGCTTTCCACAGGGAAACCACGGAGGGGCTTTTATTGTGAAGGTCAGGAGATGTTAGCTACTTAATCAACGTAGACTTTACTGACCGACTGAAGATGTTCTGTAATAAACACACTAGTTCTGTCAGACTAAAGGACCGGTCCACACCAACGACTGGGTTTTGTTGGTAAATTAATTTAATGTGAAGCAGAAATGTTGAATACACAGCTGTAGTAATAAAACCTCTCATCCCCATGAGTCCCGTTACTCCTGTCATGTGTTCCTGCTCCCAGGCAGCAGGAGGCGGATCCAGGTGACGCCTACCTGCCTCCACCAGGAGGCGGATCCAGGTGACGCCTACCTGCCTCCACCAGGAGGCGTCTGTCCGTCCGTCAGTCTTATTTGTGGAAACGCAGACGCTAGAGCAGCTTCTGCTTCTTCCGAGCCTGAAACTGCTCCGTTTTGCTCTTGATCGACTTGACGAGCAGCGACAGACTCGGGTCCATCGCTTTCCTCGGAGCCTCAGAGTCATTTTGGCGTCTCTTTCCTGCTGCTTCCTGTTCGGCGGCGGCGGCGGGCTGCGCCTGTGTGGGCGTGGCCTTCTGAGCGGCGAGCGTGTCCTCGGTGCGGCGCTGCTCCTCCTCCTCCCGTCTGCGATGCTTCTCGGCCAGGATGCTCTGCGTGGCCTTGGTCCTCTTGTAGCTGGGGTGGGAGGGGTCCAGGTTGAACAGGTGGGAGGTGAACATGGCCTGGAAACGAGGGTCTGAGACGTCCACCTGAACACAGAGAGAGAGAGACGGCTTTGTTACAGAGTCACACCGACATGGACAGAAACAGCCTGCTGCAGGGGAAGCAGCTCCTCCTGGAGCATCCTGAGGCGTTCCCAGGCCACACACACAATCCCTCTAGAGGGCGCCGACGCTACCAGGGCAACAGTCCACTCCCAGGAAACCAGCATTAAATAGAAAGAGTCGTATCAACTAGACTAGAACGGTAAGAACTGATACCGACAATCATGCTGAACATCATCCTCCAGAGTTGGCAGGA